TTGGTTTATTCTCTTGTAGGTTTTTTCCTTCGAATTTGACGGAAATGGAATCCTTTTTGTTCACGTCCGAATCCGTCAACGAGGGACATCCCGACAAGCTTTGCGATCAGATCTCCGACGCAATCCTCGACGCTTGTCTCGAACAAGATCCCGAAAGCAAAGTAGCTTGCGAGACATGTACCAAGACTAACATGGTCATGGTCTTCGGTGAAATCACCACCAAAGCTAACGTCGATTACGAGAAGATCGTCCGTAGAACTTGCCGTGAAATCGGATTCGTCTCCGCCGACGTTGGTCTCGACGCCGACAATTGCAAAGTCCTTGTCAACATCGAGCAACAGAGTCCCGACATCGCTCAAGGTGTCCATGGTCACCTCACGAAGAAACCAGAGGATATCGGAGCTGGTGATCAAGGTCACATGTTCGGTTACGCCACCGACGAGACTCCTGAGCTCATGCCGCTTAGTCACGTCCTGGCTACTAAGCTTGGAGCTAAACTCACTGAAGTTCGCAAGAACGGAACTTGCCCTTGGTTAAGACCAGACGGTAAGACACAAGTCACTGTCGAATACTTCAACGAAAACGGAGCTATGGTCCCTGTCCGTGTCCACACTGTTCTCATCTCGACACAACACGACGAGACCGTGACTAACGATGAGATCGCAGCTGATCTCAAAGAGCATGTGATCAAGCCAGTGATCCCAGAGAAGTACCTTGACGAGAAGACAATCTTCCATCTTAACCCATCTGGTCGTTTCGTGATCGGTGGTCCTCACGGAGACGCTGGACTTACCGGCCGTAAGATCATCATCGACACTTACGGTGGTTGGGGTGCACACGGAGGTGGTGCTTTCTCTGGAAAGGACCCGACTAAGGTCGATAGGAGTGGTGCTTACATCGTTAGGCAAGCAGCTAAGAGCATTGTAGCTAGTGGTCTCGCGAGGCGTTGCATTGTGCAAGTGTCCTACGCAATTGGTGTCCCTGAGCCATTGTCTGTGTTCGTGGACAGTTACGGAACAGGGAAGATTCCAGACAAGGAGATTCTTGAGATTGTGAAAGAGAGTTTTGATTTCAGGCCAGGGATGATTTCTATTAACTTGGATTTGAAGAGAGGAGGTAATGGTAGGTTCTTGAAGACTGCTGCTTATGGTCACTTTGGAAGAGATGACCCTGATTTCACTTGGGAGGTTGTGAAGCCACTCAAGTCTAACAAGGTCCAAGCTTGAAAAAACCTGAACCAATCTCAGGTTAAGACTCTGTTTCAGAGTCTGGTCTTGTCCTCTGTATTTTAGGCTCTTTATGGGTTTTTTTTGGTTTCAAACTCTAAGATGAGTTTATATTCTTTTTTCTTTTCAACTTTGGAGAAAAAGAGCAAATTTGGGAACTTATTATTTACTTGTTATTGTTGTGGTGAGAAAGTTAAAAGATCATATTTTGTATTTCTTGCTTCTTTTGAGAAGATAATCTACTATATAAAAGATGAAACCCTATTATATATTTAGTATCCTTTCCTTTGTTTGCAGTATCAATGTTTCAATGTCAAATATATAATCATGTTGACTCAAAAGAGAGAAGACACCAAATGTGACTTCGAGTGTAAAAAGATGATGAGATCAGAGTGTACTAGTGATTCCATGAACGCAAACATCAGCTTCAATGAGACAGACATCTTTGAGCAACAGACCACTGTTTGGTTGCGTGAAATAAACCATCGATACATATTTCACCCATCCGTTCTCAGAACTCGATCGACTGAACCATCTAGTAGCTGCCAACAATACCATACACAAGTTACAGATCCAGAAGGGAACGGATTCACATTTCACACATGTACTAAGATTTGAGTTTATTGGTTGTTACCTTTCCCTGCAATGTGCCTGCCTTGAAGCTGATCAAATATTCTTACTGTGAACTCTGCAAATATCTTTGTACCGTCTGAAACAGTTTCAGGATCTGCGAGGATTAGATAGACAGAAAGATGGGTTCCTGTTCCTTGCTTTGTTCCCGTTGGATAAAACCGTATCTTCCTGCGTTAAAACCAAATTCAGCTTTTACATCAATTACCTACTGTTTAGGGATTATTACCAAAATATGTTGTTACCATTTTCTATCTCCAGAGAAGAAAGGATTTGAGTCATAGCTTTCTTTGTCTAACTTAGAGAAGTTCTCAATTTTCCAGACGTGCTTAGAGCTAGTAGCATCTTTAATCATTGATAAACATTCTCCTCTCCCGCTGCTTCTCTCCTTAGAAACAAACACATCGGCTCCAAACATACATGCATCTTCCATAAGGTAACCATTTGACGCATCAGAGAAGGTACCGGTAGCGATGAATTTATCGAATCCCCATTCACGCTTGACCGCATGAAACCGTCTCTCTTTTCCTGCAACACAAAATGCATTTGAGGGTGGGACCAAGATGAGAGAAACATAGTACTTGAAGAAGTGAAAGAAGTCACAAATCTACCTTGTAGAATCAAATAATTATCGTTGTTTTGATCCAACAAATACAGACGGAAAACAGCGCAAACCTCCCACCCTGGACCTAATGAACTAGAGTCAGCCAGAGCCAAGTAAATAGAAACATGATCTTTTGTATTCTTGCTCTTGTTTCCATTTGGATACAGAACCAGTTTCCTGCAAGCAAAAAACCACATATGCTGTTAGATTTGTTATAAATAATGCATAGTAGATTACTAAAACCAAGGTATTTGATTGGACACCAATAAATAGAAACAGAGATGGTCCCAAAATTTCACATGGTAAACTGTCCACTATGAGTTGGAAAACCATGACCAGAGAGACAATATTATGTAAGTCCATTATGCAGATATAAAAAAGAGGATGTAAAAGTGTCTTTTGAATAAAGGAAAGTTTTCCAAAAGTGACCACACCCTAAAACTAAGTAACGAAAAGGAAGGAAAAACTGAGGCATGTTCTAACAATAAGCAAGGTTTGAGATACCATGCACGTGTTAATGATGATTATTAATCGTCAATCAAAAAAGGTTCGTTAATAATTAATTATAAGAAAGAAGAAGAATAAAGTTTAGTGATAATGATACCATACCATTTGTAGCCACCAGCTTCAAAGCTCTCAGTTTCATACCTCTCTATAGCATGCTTTGTAAGGAGTGAGAAAGACTCTATCTTGACCATGTAATGTGTTGGTGGGGCTTCAGAGATAGACTTTATAATTTCTGCAATGATTTATCACAAAATGTTACCATTGAGAAAAGAACCAAGTGAAAAGGAAAATGAATTCAATTACACTCTTAATAACAAAACAAAAAAAGAGCAACAAGAAAAGGTCACAGAACATATTATCCAAAACCAGAGAAATTAAGAGAGATGATACCAGCATGGTCACCGAAACTGGCCATGAAAAAGATATGCAGAAATCAGAAATGAAATTAGTGGATATGCAGATAACTAGATAAGCATCCCTCTATTAACTTTTCATTTTATAGGTGAAAGAAATAGATTGCATCTGAAAAACAAAAACTGTGTTAAGGATCAAACATTTATACTTTTCTTGAAAGGATTTAACTTTTTCCATGCATGAAGACTTATTCCCTGTGAGGTTGCACAACCAAAAAGCAAGAATCACTTGAGAACCATGAAGAAGAATTACTTTTCTAAGAAATTTGATTCCTTATGAGACATGAAAGATTCAATGCATTTAGTATTATATCAATTGTACAATAATGAGAGTATTAAGCAAACGATCAAGGCAAATAATGTTGTGAAAGTCACTCACTAGTTTTATTTTCTCAACACTTGCTCTGCTTTTGCCAACCAAACACCATAAATATGTTTTTGGTACTGGTACAGATATGGAAGCAAAAGGAAGAAACATAGAACAATGGATTGCGCGCGAAGGATCATCTCTGAGTTTTGAAACTTTCAGTGAAGCAGTAGACTTATATGTCTTCTTCATCTCCGGCCTAAGCCGAGAAATTGTCCCTCTTTTTCCGCAAAAAAAAAAAAAAAATCTGACTTAGTGACGTGGATTTGTTTCCGACACTCATGCCACGTGGCTTGAACCAGGAAGGTCTAGACCAGGGTGGTCTCTCGTGTATCAGATTAATACCTTCTCTCTGCTCTCTTTCCCCTTGGTTGGTTGGTTTGATCAGACAGAGGAACGCAATAAAAAAGAAGACGAAATCGGATAGTGTGATTAGTTACGACGGAGAAGACAATGACGACGGAGGCGTCGACGCAATCATACAGCGAGCAATGGTACTGGGACGATCGCTACGCGAACGAATCTGAACCGTTCGATTGGTACCAAAAGTATTCTTCATTAGCTCCTCTCATCAATCTCTATGTCCCTCTCCGTAATCACCCTGTCCTCGTCATTGGCTGCGGAAACTCAGGTCATAGATACAAAACTCTCTGAATTTCACAGTTTTTCATTTCTGGATCAATCTTGTCTGAGTTTGTTATGTTCGAATTTCATATGCAGCGTTCAGTGAAGGAATGGTGGATGATGGGTACGAAGATGTAGTCAATATCGATATTTCCTCTGTTGTGATCGATACAATGCTCAAGAAATATTCGGACCGTCCTCAGCTCAAATGTACTGTACTGTACTGTCTCTTTTGGTTTCGTACTTACATTTGTTGATTTCTTAATGTTGCAAATTCGGGAGGAATATATATGAGATTATTAGCATGAACGTTTGTATTTTGGATCATGTGTAAACAGATTTGGAGATGGATGTGCGTGATATGAAGGCATTTGAAGCTGATTCTTTTGATGCTGTAATTGATAAAGGTATTATGTTTGATTCCATTATTAGTCCAATGCATTGTGTTTCATTGTGTAATAACATTTTCGACTTTTTTTCTTATGTGTTTGTGTGTGTGTTTTTCAGGAACCTTGGACTCCATTTTGGTGAGTGAGGAGATCTACTTTCTATTTGCTTATGCAATCTCTAGATTCTGATTTCTCAT